CAAATTTAATTTTGTAATTAAATTAAAGACATTAGTTCCATTTCATCCTCAAGCGAATTTTTCTAAACTTTGGAATAATCAGATTGAAATAATGTCAAGCCCTAACAGGCATTCCCACTGTTTACAGAGAGAAGCCTGTCTGAACCTGACATAGCCCGTTTCTAATGCCTTTAAATATAAGAAAGAGTCAGCACAACTAAGGATGGTAAGAGTCGCTGCTGAAACTGATGACACAATCTGGATTATTTTTAAAATGCTCGGTGTGTATTGTTTGCAACCTCACCCGAAACCAGTTAGCTGTTATTTTTTTTAATTTTTATTTATTTGATCATGAACGGTTAAGTCGGTTGTGCCTTTTTTTATTTCCATAATAAAGGTCTGTACTGCTATGAAACTTATGAAATATATATATATATATATATACCCAAGTATGTAATTGGTATATACGGAATGAATTCCAATAACCAACAATTACTATTCTTAACAGAGTGCTCAATACAAAGTAGAGCAGATATAATTATTATTTATAAAAAAATTATAACATAAATATGTTATAAAATCACTACAAAAATAGCATTTTGTTTCAATTTACACTCATGTGACAGACAAATGTGTTGAAACAAAATGGCTATTTTTGTAGTGATTTTATAATATACTTATGTTATAATTTATTTATAAATAATAATTATATATATATATATATATATAGTTTTAATTTATGCTATATTTATGGATTAAAGTTGTCAATATCAGGGATAGAGCCTATGTAAATATGAAAGTGGACATCGCGGTCAACACCTATAGGTGACAGTCTGTTTCATGCTAAACGCAATCGTCAGGTCACGTCATTTATGAATCAGGATAAAATACAGAACAAAGGTGGATGAAAGACGGCATATTGAAAAAGATAAAGAACAAATAGGAAACATATATATATATATATATATATATATATATAACATGACTGGCTTTCATTAAATCTTCATCAGAGAATGATATGTGGAAAAAAAATCTGATATATTTATTTTTGTGTTTTATTTTTATGAGTAAATTTGGTTACTGACGCCAATTTAGATGAATTCTTTCTCGCAGAATACGCTTTATCTCTCTCTCCCTCTCTCTCTCTCTCTCTCTCTCTCTCTTTATATATATATATATATATATATGTGTGTGTGTGTGTGTGTGTGTCTGTGTGTGTCTGTGTGTGTGTGTGTGTGTTGTGGGGGCATGATGGGACAAAGTGAAAACCTGTAGACAACGCGTTACGCCAACGCCTGTTGGTCTTGGATTAATCTAAAACTAAGGCGTCGGCAAAATAGCTTTTACGCTTTATTTGGTCATTCTCACTTTTTATATCCATAAGTATATATTTAATTCATACATGGCGTGGCCTGACGGTGGCGTTTCACATGAAACAGAATGTCTCCTCTGGCTGTTGTTTCCAATGTCCACTTTTATATCTGCATACCCTGTATACCTGATACTGAGCACTTTAATCCTTTTATTTCGGATAATATTATAAACCTACACACACACACACACACACACACACACACACACACACACACATATATATATATATATATATATATATATATATATATATATATATATATATATATAAAAGATTAAATATACATTGTAGGTTAAATACAATAAAAAAAATGTTAAAACAATTTTTTCTCAGTAAGATCACGTCATATATATATATATATATATATATATATATATATATATATATATATGAAATGTATATATATATATATATATATATATATATATATAGGTAATAGGCCGTTGGTATACAAGAAAAACTTAATAATATAAAATATTGAAATTGATCCACCAAATAAATATATATATATATATATATATATATATATATATATATATATAAATGATTAAATATACATTTTGGTTAAATACAATAAAAATGTTGGAAAAAAAATTTTCAGATAAGATCAATATATATATATATATATATATATATATATATATATATATATATATATATATATATATTGGTAATAAGCCGTTGGTATACAAGTGAATCCTAATAATATAAAATATTGAAACTGATCCCCAAATCATATATATATATATATATATATATATATATATACTAGCAGCATTACCCGACGTTGCCTCAAAATAGATCACGAACATCATCCAATCTGTAAAGTTAAAATGAAGATTTTTCTTTAGCCCCTCTTATCTATATGTTGAAAAATTATAATGACATGAAATGGGAAAACATTTATAACAGGAGGAAGTTTTTTTTTTTTACAGAAGCACAGAAGATACTAAAAACTTTGTCAGCAAATGTAGAGTACATTAGTCGCAATCGATCTTCGAATATTGTTGAGGAGAAATGCTTTGTTGACAGCTTTTGCTCAAACTGCATCGAATGAAGAACATGTGTTGGAAAGAGAAGCAATTCAACAAAGATCTTTTCCTAGCGGCCATGCCCAGGCTGAAAACCAACGTTCACAAAGACTGT